CCTGTTTCACAAGGATCCCCTGTGCCTTTTTCGATTTCAAAGAAATGAAGTAACCATTCACCTGATCCGTACATCAGCCACACCTGACATCTCTTTTATGCTGTGAAAGACTGCCAGAAATTTTAACTGGGTAACTGCATCAATCTGTTTGTACATCTCCTACACACGCGACAACAGCCTCCCTCTTAAGAAACCGCAAATCTAAGTATATACTTGAAAGGGTGAATCTCAAACCTATTTCTGCTGTTCATTGCATCAAGAGCACTCGCGCTGTGAAGAAGCCCCACAGGAGACTTGCCCTGCAGAGCGTACGCCCCAGCACCACCTACAGCGACCACAGCTGTGCCTCCCATGCCGTAAAGCAGCACCGACCCTGCCCTGTGCTCAACCCATCTGAGGCCCAGCGATGGTGCTGCCCCTGCCCCTGGTGCCTCACGCCCTGGAGCCTCCCACCTTCAGGGAATCACAGAATTGCTGAGGTTGGAAAAGACCTTTAAGATCGAGTCCAACCGTTAACCCAGCAATGCCAAGTCCATCACTAAGCCATGTTCCTGAGCACCATATCGACAGGTCTAAATACCTCCGGTGATGGTGACTCCACCACTGCCCCGGGCAGCCTGTTCCAGCTTAAAAACCCTTTCAGTAATTTTTCCTAACGTTCAATCTAAACCTGCCCTGGTGAAACTTGAGGCCATTTCCTCTTGTCCTGTTGTTTGTCACATGGGAGAAGAGATTGATATATGCTTCTTGTATATCTTTAGTAATTTTTTTTACACATCATTTGATTAGATGGAATTATGTACATCAAGCATCTGCTGAAATCACAGATATACTTGCCCTCTTAAATCAATTGATTTTTTGTGTCTTTCAAACCGCCTTTAGACAAAGCGATTGTAGGATATGAAGCTGTAAATAAAAATGCTTTTTTACCTATATACACACTTTCACATGATTGAGGCACTCTGGAGCACTGCTGCAACACTTGAAGTCCCAAGACATTACCAATCTTTC